TCAGAGAACAGGAGAGGTTTGTTATGATTTAGTGSTAAGATTTTCATAGAAGCAAAACCAGCAGGAACATTAGTCTCTGCTCTCCCATCTATCACAAACATCCTGTTGAGTTACAAGGCTCTGGTGCACTTGCTACTACTAAAGATTTTTCCTCCCTCAATCCTCTGGGGTTCGATGAAGAATTCCTGGAGAAAAAAAAAAACATACTTAAGCGTTCTTCTAATTTGCAAGATTAGAAGCCTGATTCTGCAGGACTGAAGTCAAGATGTGCTCAGATACCATGTGTCAAGATGTATGAGAATTGGAAATTTTAGTTAGAATTGGTTATAGCTTTCCCAAAGCAATCTGTGTTGAAAATATTTTTTTTTTTTTTTTTAGAGAGGGTCTAAAGAGACTTGTGGAAAATTTTACCAAACTTGCCTATAAATCCTTCAACACAAAAACTCATAGTTTGTATTAATTAAACATAAACCACATTTCACTAACTCCAGAGTATATTTTTCCAAGTAGTGATAGGATTATGGAGCACTGAGAGAACCAGTAGTGAAACAGATACATAGTAATTCATTTWAAGCAAATTGAGTTTGAAAAGGTAAATGCCAGGGCCTATAGAAAGTTGTTCTTGTTTCAGAAGACTCAAATCTGTTACCTGATTTACTGCAAGGTTTTGAGTGGAGGCTGGGGAACTGTCAGTAGTGTTTTGTGTATTTATATGCTGGTTTAGCCCATTTCATCTTTGAGAATTTTTGTAGACTAATAAAATAGTCTCTATTTTAAGTAATTCGATACTACAGTGGAAGTTTTTGTTAGAATAGTGGAAGTGACAGAAAAACAGAATGAATATGAAATRTAAATCCTTGGAGCTAAACACAATAAAATCCGTTTCATTATGGAATTCACCTCTTCAGTATAGGAAATCCCTGGTAGGAAAACAAATGCATAAACATATATTTATCATGACTTATCAGTATTTTGGAAATTATTGTCTACCTTTTTGTCCATGTTTAGGATTGGAGTTCCTGTCAATTTTTTTTTTTTCATATATCATGGATACGAGACCCAAACAGTGTCTTGCAAAAATAAGTTGTAAAAACAGTCATAGAAAATATTTTTAAGAAATCTTGTAGTATGGAAATGTGCATTATTTATATCATTTTTCTAGAATTCTTTCTACTTTGCATTCAGTACTATTTCACTGTGTGTGTTCTCTCCTTTCTAAATTGTACAGGGAACAAACACTAAAGAGTGCAAGTGTGATTCAGTCCCTAGGAAAACATAATAAGCAGTAAGGTAATTTATAAATAGGTAATACTTATTTACAGCAAAAAGTTAATACTTGGTTTGGCAATTTTCTTTCTTTTGCAGCCACAAGAGATGCTTAAAAGGATGGTGGTTTACAATTCATCATTTAGATCTAACAAAAAACAAGTAAAATAACATCTTCCGTGTTTGTGTGGTTCTTCTTGTTTGACTGATCACAGATTTAAAACTTTCTTTCTAATCCTGTTGTTCAGTTTCTAAAACAGAAGATGCAAGGCAGCCCTAATGCATGAGAATTGCTGGTTTTTGTAAACTTTTAAGTGTGTGCCTTTGGCTCCTGCTAGTCTAGGCAGAAGAAGAATGAGAATAAATCCTTCAGGTTGAACCATCTGTAACTACTTACATGGTTAAGTGCAACCTGTAAGGTAGTTGAACACTAATAACTGATCTGATACTTATATTCCTGAAGTTTCTTTGTTTCTCTGTGTCTAGCTGCAATACTTTCTGTAATAAAATACTTTATTAGTTTAATGAATAGAGCTATCATCATAACATGGCTACTGGTAGGAAATCAGGGGAACCAGTGGTGGAAAGCACTTGGTCATTCAGCCTTCCTGCATTGTGTAGGATTTTCCTGCTGCTTTTTTACTTTTGCTGCTTTCCTCTGTTCCTAATGATGAAGTTTTCATTTCTTTCTCTTTAGCTGGCTGGTGGTTCAATAGATGGTTCCTTGAAGAAGTAAACTTCATGCTTAACTTCTCTGCTGCTGTAAAATGTGCCAGTGTCTGTGAAAAACCTCTTCGTTAGTGCGAGCTAAGTTAAATGCATTGACATGTTGCATGAAAAGTTGACACACAGTAATGAGCTCACAAATATGAGTTTTCAGGTGGTAAACCAATAAGATCAGTAACAACTTTTTTCCTTCTTTGACCCAGTTTCAATCTAGATCTAGAAGGAAAAACTGGATTTGACTGAAAAAAAATACAATTTTGAGATTATTTGTTTACCAGTAAATGCCAATATGGTCTGAATGTACAACAGTCATGTTTTCAAAAGAGGTGGTTTTTTAAAATTTTGTTATATMTGGTCATGAGTTTCTCTTTCAATTATTTTCTGTGGTTGCTATTTAGGTGTTATCTTTTTGTGGTTTGTTGTTTTTTCAGCGAGGTCTCAATTGTTCTTGACATGGTTAGAAACCAGTGAAGCAGTGTCATTGGTATAAGTGCTTGTGTTTTGGAGGTTGTTTTTTCTTTAAGTAGTAACTTTAGCTTTCATCTGGAAGTCCAGACAGTTGTTTCAGTGCAATCAGATATTTTATTTTTCATTTTCAGCTTATGCTGAGTCCTGTGAATGTTTTTGTAAGCCACGAAGGAATTTGAATGGTCTTAACTCTTTCACCTGAAACATCCTGAGTAGTGGGAGGGTAGGCTTAGGGCTGTGCTTTCCACACGGTGTTGCTTGGTTCATTAGTCCCTGCTTGGATATGGAGTGCATTCTCTGMGCTCTGAATTTGTGGTGCCCATTTCGGGAAAGATTTCTTACAGTTCAGTGAGTGTCTTCTTCCTGTCTTAGTTATATTTGTACATTATTGATTCAACATCATACCTATGACACACAGACATATCAACCCAAGGGGACAACAGTTTAGACTGAATATTAGSAAAATTGTTTCACCCAGAGGGTGGTTAGACCCTGGAGRAGGCTCCCAGGGAAGTGGTCACAGCACCAAGACTGACAGAGCTCAGGAACTGTTTGGACAATGTCTTCAGGCACATGGTGTGACTCAGTGCAGGGCCACGAGTTGGACTTGATGATCCTTGTGGTCCTTCCTACTCAGAATATACTGTGTTTCTATGACTTTTGCCTGCACGTTGTTTATTTGATGTTTTGTTTTGGTAGTTTTGATGGGGTTTTTTGTTTTGTTTTTTTTTTTTTTTTTTTTTGCCTGTTTGTCAGTTTTGGGGTTTTTTTCCCATTTAAAGATTATTTTCCCATTTAAAGATTATTTTCCCAGGAAAACTTCCTTCAAGGGCAGCATCTGTTTTTCATCAGGACAACCTGGGACAAAAAGTTCACTGACTTCCTTTAGATTACATAATGACTTAGTGACTTGGCTGAGGTTGGAGTTCTTTTCTCTGAATTGCTTGCTCCAAAACCATGGATATCTACTTCAGCCATGATTCCAAAAGGCARTACTAATTCACTTGTTCAAAGTATTAATTTTTTAGGTAGCTATCATGGTAAAATGTTTCTCATACAGTTTTAGTTAAGTGGTTCATAATATTAATACACCTTGTAAATTAATGAATGATTGATTAAAGGATKAAATTCCTCCTTGCTGATGTGTGTGATGAAATCCCTATTTATTTGGTAAACCAATGGAATGCAATGTAACAAACTTAATGTAAGGCAGTGCTGTCGAGGATTGAGATCAGACTCCAGAGGATCATTGACAACAAAATCAGGCAACTGAGAGAGGTGATAAAGAGTAGAGTAAAGAGTAATTTTATTACAGTAAATTAGTTTTCTGCTGCAACTCTGCCATTTAAGAGCTAGCCCTTAGATATACCACAGCAATCTCAAGCTGTGTGCTTGGTTTACAAGTGGAAAAAGGCTTGGCTGAGTCTGAGAGTGGAGTAGACTTTGTTGTTAAATGGATCCAGTAGAAAAGAGGGCCATAATGAACATATCAAGGTTGATCATGCACTGAACCACTGGTCTGTGTCAGATATTGGCCTTCCTTCTAAGTCTGCATAGGGTTGTGTGGTTCTCTGTTCCCCTATCAGCAAGTTATTGCAGCTTGAGGCCACAAGAGTGGCAGCTAGGTGCCTCAGTAAAGATCTTCTTAAGTCCTGAAGTCCTTGTTTTAACATGCAGGATAAGTGCAGAGGTTTTATAGATCTCCAGCACTGGCCATACAGTCTCACCCAGTAGCTACTAATCCTCCTTGAGAAACTGCCACKCAAACACCATTGACTCCTGATTGCTGATGAAGGAACTCCCATCCTTGTAGAAGAGATGAACTCCTGTTTTCCCTGCAGTCTGACATGGGTTAAACACTATGTTTTCTGGGTCCTCTCAAAGCTTAAATCTTGCTGTGCCAAACTGCAGTGCTATCCATTCTGCATTGCAGACATTGCTTGACAGAACTTTTAAGTCCTCCACACCGTATGAAAACAAAAATCGTATTGTCCTGCAAATTGTCCAACGAATTGTTGTCCTGCTCTTGCTTGTGGTATGGAGCCAACTCCTTGAAACTCCACATCAAGGGGGAGAGAAGGGGCCTGAAAAAGAATTCTAAAACCCAGGCAGGGTGGAGTAATGTTGCTGACAGGTGAATTGGAGCCTGTCGTTTCTACCTGTTACCATCCAACATGTTGATAATTCCAAGAAATATTTCTCCAAAGAGTGTCACAGAACATACCTGCTAGTGATGCTTTCAAGATTTGTTTCTCTTCTGTCAGATGTAGAGAAGAACTGTAGAGCTTACAGGGTGGTAAATTCTTCCTCAGAACTGCTCCATKATATGACCAACTCAAATTATTGATTTGTCATGAGGTTTTGAAATGTTTTCTGACTGTCAGGATGGACTCTTTGCTGTCTYTCTCTGCTTTTCTTCAGTTACTGTCTTCTTTCATAGCTTACACAATCACATGTTCTCTCACTAATAAATAAGATGGAGTTTGTGTGTTGTGTGCATGAGTAGCTGCTTTTGCAATTAAATATTGTTTTATTCTCAGGGCTTCCAGAAGTATGTGGAAGATTTTGATCCATATTCAATGGTAAGGAGAGAATTTAAAAATGCCTCACTGTTCGATATGAAATACACTGGGAAAAAAAGCCATGTTCTTGATTTTGAGGGCTGGGAGTGGGTAAGATTCTTGCTTGTTGTTTTGCTTGGTCTTGTGTTCTTGTCGTTTCTAGTCATGATGAACAGAAGCGTTCTGGCAGGAAAAGGTGATGTGGTGTTGTGATCTTCCTCTAACATTATTTAAGAGGAGGGAAAGGTCTCTTTTACCCCAAAAATGACATAGATCAGCCTAATTGTTTTGTGTTTCCAAAGTGGAAATGATTAATCATGATATCTTTTCCTAGTTTACCCCAGACCAGATTATGGGAAAAGACGTACGACTATTACGAATTAAAAAGGTAAATACTCTGTAGTTTGATTCATATTTAAAGGGTTCATGTAAGCATTTGATGTACAGCATCATTTACTGGGAGGAAGGAAAGACTAAGACTAACTCCCGTTAGTGGCAAAAATTGAGTCTTTTCTGAACTAGAACTGGTTTTTTTCATAGGAAGGATCACTGGACCTTGCAGTCGAGGGGGGAATTGATTCTCCAATTGGAAAGATAGTTGTTTCTGCCATCTATGAGGATGGTGCTGCAGACAAACATGGTGAGYAACAATGAGCAATTTGGATGGTGCTGCAAAGTGTGTCCTTACACTGGCTGAGAATGGTTGGCTGATTTCATAGGCTGGTACTGAAAGGCTCACTCGATTGTCCAAGGGCATAAGTTCTGTCTCAAGTCTAGGAGCAGCCATATGGTTTCAAGAATCCTGCTTAAATTAATAGTTATGTAAAATTTATAAAAACCAACACCTGATTCTCTGGTGTATTCTTTAGTCAAGGAATATGTTATCCATTATTTCACAATTTGCAAGCAATGGCATTTGTAGTACTTCTACATACAAAGCAATTACCTGACCRTAGCTACACTGCACTGATCAGCTTTGTTCTTTATGCTGCTTTAAGTAGAAATTTGTCTAGTTAAACAGCTGGCTGTACTTAAACCCAACTAAAGGCCAGACCCTCTGAACTTTTAGCATTCTGAAGGCTCTAGAAGGTGTTCACCAACACATCTGGGCTTTGCACCTGGTGACAGCTATCTCCCTTTCTTTTCTTGATAATGCTCATGATGAACAAGTTGACAACGGGACAATATCCCCTTACACTGTGTTTGCTGCCCTTGTCCCAGCCAGCACCTAAATTCAAGTCACTCTTGCTGTGAAAACAGCCATTTGGTCTCCTCGGGCTCTTTTTGACCCTTCACTCTTTTTAGGATTTCTCATAACTAAAGCTGTGTGTCCCCTTAGCATCCTCTTCAAATCCAGTCCCAGATAATTGGTTGCTCTTCATTCCAGATTAGCAAGTCAAAGTCAGTTCTGTGGAACGAACATTACATGTACACTTGCAAAGGAATAACAGTCGTGCAAACTGTTGACAGCAAAACAGTTTATTCCTTCAGAAATTTAATTATTTTTTTCTGGTTTTATAGATTCATAGAATCACAGAACTGTTGGGGTTGGAAGGGACCTTACAAATCATCTTGTTCCAAGTCCACTGCCACGGTCAAGGACGCCTTCCCCTAGATCAGGCTGCTCAAAAGCCCCATCCAACCTGGTTTTTGAACACTTCCAGGGATGGGGCACAGTGGTAACAGCSTAGAGCCAGTCACCATTCATAATATATGTATATAGCTGGATTTCCCAAACAGGCAAACTCTGGAAAACCTTGTTGAACTTGTTTCTTACTGGTCATGATCAATAAGAGATTAGTTCGTCTTTGCCATGACTGAAAATTCCTTTTGTGTTTTCTTGTAGCAAACTTCCTACAATTTTTASTATAGACCTTCACATCCAGTGAGAACACTTTTCATTATACAAAATACTGCACAAATATGGCAAAGACTTGCAGAATTTTATTTTGCTTATGTATAGGTAAAACATACTGGTCTTTTCCCTAGGAGGCATAGTGAAAGGGGATGAAATACTGGCTGTGAATGGCAAGATATTAATTGACAGCAAGCTGGCAGAAGCACAGGCAACTCTAGCAAAAGCTTGGAACATGGGTGGGGTAAGTAACCTGGAATACTGCTTCATTCTGCCTACAGAGTTCATATGAGAGAATACTTTTCTATCATGACATTGTCACAAATAAGGTGACAAACATTTAGAGTAGGGGGTATGTCATGCACTACACAAGTGAGTTAAAATCTGCAGAAGATGTTCATATGTGGTATCTCTGAAAACCATGTGTGGGATTTACCAGGAAATTTCATGGCATTTAGCCACATGTCAAGATTGGTATTTAAACACATTACATTCTGAGTGTTTATAGTATATTTATCAATACAATCACTCTTTGATATTGACAATTACTTGCAAGCTGATTGGAATTTTCTGATAATACCTTATCTTATTTCTGATTTCTTTTACAAGCAACACTGCACTTTAGCTAGTGTTTCCTCAGCAAGAACTCTATTAATGACTTAGATGATCAAATACAGGATGATTCATAGAATTATTTTTTTAAAATCTTGTTGTAACAGTAGATTTTTCTTTAATTTCAAGATACAAATAGAATAGCTCAATCTTTAAATGATCTTGTGAAAATTCTAAATAGAGACTATGCTGCTGCTCCCTGTGGTTCTCCAGGAATAGATTACTCCTCTGATTCCCTGACATTTCATGGTGGTCTGCTGGCCACCTCTAAAAGCAGTACTCAACAGCAGATTTTGCCTGTGCTTTTCTTTTTCAGGATTGGATTGACTTAGTCATTGCAGCATCACCTCCAAAGGAATATGATGATGAAATGTAAGTGCATAAGTATTTTCTCTGGGGATTAAAAGCTGACTAACAATAGCCAGTTTGCTTTTATGTCAGACACTTTTCAAATATCTTCTTCTTGTGRGCCATATAACCTCCTGCCTTAGATGGTTGCTAATTTGGTAGTTGTAAGTAGCTGTCATGCATTACAGCAGTGGTTCCCAGACTGCARGATTGTGATTCTCAGAATTGGTTGTACGTGACTACACACTCACACTTTCAGTTCAAAGTTTGAGAAATTGGGGTTTGTTTTTTTTCAGAAGTTCCACTTAACTTTAGTTTGAATCATTTACTGTATTCCATAGTTCATAACTTAGGGAACAAATCCCMATAAGCATTCTTCATCACAACCAGATGTCTAATTCTGTAGTTGGTTTGGGGGTTTTTTATTAGATTGCAGTTACTGTCCTTGTCAAAGCAAACCTACATGTGAAAGTTTCAATAGAGATAAAACGATTTGGGTGTCTTGGAAATTAGTGATGTTCAAAGAATCCTTGTTTTAAAGATAATCAGCATAGGTGTGAAACAGAAGAATACATAGCTACAAGTGTGATAGAGGTTTCAAGTCRATATAACTTGCTTTACTTTGGACAAACAGATTCAAAAGCAAGACCCGTGTTTTCTAGTTTAGTTGAAGGAAAAGATTTTAAGATATCCTTAATAGCCAGTAAMATGGCAGAGTAAGGTTTGGTAGTCRCTGTTAACCTGGGCTCTTGTTCCATGCAGAATACTGGAGTATTAGTTGCTGTAAATCAGTTGTGCTGGCTAATACCAACTGTAGTTAACGTGAAATTTTGTTTAATACCTGTGCATAAACTAACAAGCAAGGAAATAACTATCACTGTTATTTTTTGTTTTCATATCCTGTATATTTAGCCCTCCCATTCCCTCCTCAGCAGTCAGTCCCAACACACACAGAAAGGTTTTTGAAGGCAGTGCACCTGTGTACAGACAAGGGTATCTCCTGCAGCTGTAGCCACTGCAGTGTCCCTCATGGTGAATAGCACACCTGGCTTCTTAACATGACTGGCCATTGTGAGGCTGCATTATTTTTTCAGCATGTGCCTGCCTGTGCATTGCTTGCCATGCTTGCTTTTCTTCTTGGCATGCTGGAGCTGGAGTGTTCTTTGGGCCTTTGCCATGCCTGCACTATTAAAATATAAGGATTTAGTTTCTACTTCATAAAGTCCCTTAGAGATGTTGTTCAGAATTGGTTTATCACCCACCAGGCTATTAAATAAATAGGCCCTGTCTAAACAAGTAGGATTAACCTAAGGCTTTTTCCTTTATCTGTGGACCACTGCTGTGGCTTTKTGAGTTCATAAATATATAAGCAACTAAGAATTATTTTCTTGTGAAGGCTTGTCCAAAGAACAAATYCCCATTTGTATTATTCACAGTGTGCCTRTAAACAAGTATTCATGAGTGTTTGGTTTTCACTGAAGTTTGTCTCACTATACAATGGGTTTATTCTGAAATTATCCTTGTCTTAGAAATTCAGTTTACTCTGTATTGCTTCCCTGTGCTGTAATTGCTGTAAATACATAGATCTCTAGAGCTACCAAGGTAAGATTTCTTGTTGCATGTGGATCCTCTCAGTTATTACTTACAGTACAAAGCAAAATTACTTAAGACACAGTTACAAAACTGTGCTTACTAGAAAGACTAAAAGTTGCATGAGAGCTAACAACATGTTTCTTACTATGTTTTTCTTTTTTCCACAGGACATTTTTTTAAGGAAGACTGAAACTGTTGAAATGGAGTCTTTCCTCTGGAGAAATCTGCTGCTCAGTAAATAAATAGGAAATCAATAACCCCATGAAATGCATATTTATTGACTGATGTGTAAATTAAATGAGAGGCTTCAGATTCTTCGGATGATTTGAATAATTTATTGTCATTCTAGATACCTACAAGTGAACGTTTTTTTGCAAGATGATTGGGAAGAACCGCTGACTAGCACAGTTCAGTCTACGAGCGCTCAATCTCTTTTTGCTATTTTGAGGGGCCAAATTTTGAAAATTATCTTTCTGTTTTCCTGGTAATATACTTTGAAATGGCAAATGAAGATGGAACACAGATGTCTGCTCTCACATGCAACGCTGGTGAATACACATTCACAGGCCAGTTTGRGTGTAAAAAGGATTATATTTTTACTTCCTGGATAGTAAAATTCCTGGGAAAATGAGAAAGTACACAGGAAACTTCTGTTCTTACTMATATTTTGTAGCTCTGTTGACATCCAATTTTGTGTCTCAGGTGGGAAATTTTTTTGAATATAAAAAACGTGCTGGTGGAAAAAGTGAGAATACCAGGAACGCTAGCATTATTTGTAATTATTTTGTTTGTGTTGCTCATGATGTATAGAGAATCTTCTGTACAGCAGAGTAAACAACTAGAAAGTAGTTAACACAAAATCTTTACAAGGAGTGACATTCAGACTACTGAGCATTTGTATTGGTGGCAAAATGTCCTTAAAGAGTGGTGCATGACGTCAGCACATKGCCATAGTCTAGAAGCCTTCTTGGAGTTCCTGTGCTGCCCCTGCTGCAATCCTAGGAGTTGGTAGTATCTATGTGTGTTTTTCTAGATCTYTTCTCTCCTTCTGTCTTCCTCACTACTTCTCTTTTCCTTCTTCTCTTTGCCTGGAACTTTTGGRTAACATAGCATTTGATGAGTTTCAAGGTTTTTCCTGGTTGGGCTAAATTAATGGTAGCTAAATGCTARATGAACACTGAGTACTGCTTTGGTAAGTGATAGAATGTCAAATTATATGTTGTATTTCATCCTTTGCCAAAAATGTCTTTGATTTTGCTAATTTTGCCTGTTAGCTTTAGTGTGTTTTTCACCTCTTGCCTCTATCTGGTGGGGATTTCCCCTTTACTCTAAGAGAGAGCAAGAGAACCTGGAGTTCAAGCCCTGGATCTAAGGCTTCAGGGATTAACACGTGCCTCCATTGTCGAATGCGGAAATTTGGCTGTGATTCTCACTCTGCAGTTTTCTACTTTGTTGTCAGTGAGCCTTTATATGTGACTAAAGAATGCCACCAAGTTTAACATTTTCCTCTYGGTGAACGTGTACCTTCAGTTTCAGTAAATTCCGTAAGGCCATAACATTGATATCAATTTGGCTTTAATATTTTTACAGTTGCAGATTTAGTAATTATATTATCAAGGTACCTCCTTAGAAATGTCATTTTTTCCTTCCTTGTATCTTCCAATTTGTGTTCTGGTTTTTGTGCGGTGTGTAGATTTTTCTCCCCTGTTCTAATGAGAGACAGTTTATAGTTTTTTTGGTGTATCAGATTTCCACTGAAGTCTTTCCTTCTCGAGTTTGGAAGCCCTCCTCCAGCACATAAAAATAACAATTATGTTTCTGAGAACCCTGTGTTTATTTGCTGATGCTTACTTATGTTGACTTTGTTTATTTGCAGTATTCTTCCAGTATGCCAACTGATGTGTGTGGCRGGGTATATGTGTTAGAATATTTAAAATGTTTGACTCTTACAACTAATCCAAAAATAAAATTGCATTTGCTAAATGGAAGAAATCTAGTTTCCCGTTTGTCTCTGGGTTTGTACATCATAGTAATAGTTAATCATCTAGAGTACACAGATTTCTGAGTTTTTCTTAGTAACAGACCTATTTGCAAGAGATTGCCACCCTTGTGGAACTCGTAATTTGCTCTGCACAGAAGGGAATTGTGATTTGGCTGAGCTGCAGTAATCTTYTATAGAGYTTTTGGGGGCAAATCTGGTCATATRATAGCTGGCAAGCTACTGAATGCRGTTGCTACGGTGTATTTTTTTGCTACATCCTAGCGTGCATCTATCCAGGCCTGCAGACTTCCTAACCAGCGAACTGATCTACATGCTGAATCCCTCAAGATCAGCACCAGAAGGAAATTGCAGCAGGATGTACTTCTCCTGCTGCTTTGGTTCTCAGTTGCCTACATAGTGCAACCATCTGGACCATATGACAATGCATCAGGGAGATGAGGGGTGCTATCAAATGTTCTCTCAAGGGCTGCTCGCATGTTTTGTACCAGCAGAGAGAGAACCACACTAATGCACCAGTAAAGAACTTCAGCCAGTGCTTGATTGTGCTAAACACTCTCTCAGCAGACTAAGAAACATAACTCAACAGAACTTAGAGGTTTGATATTAGAGCTATTTCTACTGGTGTTGTTTTTCAGAGACAGAAGGAGCGCAGAAGACTGAKCTGGGAAATCTGTGGGAGTACCAGCAGTTGAGTTGTAGCCTTGCTTCTTAGTCATATAACTATCTTTCTTTTCCCCATCCACCCTGTTAACTTGATTTGTTTGGATACAGCTTAAAATGCATGAGAAGGCAGTTGAGGAAATAATTCCTGCTCAGAACTTTAGGTATATGAAGAAAGTGTTTATTTTAGTGTTTAACCTGTGTTAGGATGGCAGCATTGCTTTAGGTAATGTAAGGAGGTGGTGTTAGGAGAAAGTAGCCTAATGTTTCTGAAATCTTAAAATTATCTTAAGCCATTATCCAGGTAGTYTTTACAGTATTTCGAATTTCCAGTGCCCTGGGACTGCATCCCATCTTTTATTTGCCAGCTAGCTCAAGGGGTTGGAAAATGCTACAAGAAAATACATTTTTCAAGCAACTTTGCTTCCAGTTACTTTGATGTGTGTGAGCAGAGGGTCCCAGTTGTAAAAAAAAATTTAAAAGGGGTGCCCATTTTGAGTTGCTCCTGTGTTGTTTTTTGGTGGCTGTAATAGTCATTACATGTGCCTGTGCCTCACCCCTGTTCAACAAGGCCAGCTTTGAAAAGGTAACAGTAAGAGTAAATGGGACTTTTCTTTTTTTCAGCCAGTGCTGTTTCCTTTGGGAGTATGGAAACTCTGACCTGATGCACGAAGCAGGAAGAAATCCAAGTACTTCACTGACAGTATCTTGAATGCTTCCAACCACTTTTAAGAGAAGATGGTTTTTTTTTCTCATTTGCTCTAATCTCAGAGGGAATACGTGTAGTTTCTCAGGCCTGTTTGTTTGGTTAAGACGCCAAACCCCACTATCTCTCTCTGTGGGATAATAACCCAGAGCAAGACTTTCTCAGAACTGTTAACAACCGCTCTTATTCTCTCAGGAATTTCTTGGCCACGTTGTCTTTAGCATAGCCCTCACAGTTGCTGAACTGGAGCATGAATTACATTAGAGACTTGTGACTTTCACATCTGCTCTGTGAGCCTGTGCGTGCTTGTGTGCAGGCAAAAAATGTGAGGCCCTATGGATCAGCACCATGGTATGCATTACAGGATAGGAAATACCATGGGTTATTACTCATATGGATATTAGCATAGGGAAATCTTTGATCTATTTAYTACTGCCATTCTGCTAATTTATAATTTAGCTACTATTTGTCACATGGCCATGGCATCTTTTAGGAACTGTGCATTCATTTCAGAGAAGTTAATGTTTTTAAAAAATGTTTTGTTCACAAAGAAATGTGCAGGATAAGGAGGGGTGTATGCATGCACGTACACCAGTAAGGTTTTTTAAAATCAGTTTAATTTGAGGAGCACACATACACAAATGATCTCAGCACTTCACAAACATGTGAACTTAAATAAGGTGT